AGCAGAGTGAGCGGTGATGCAGGCTGCGCAGTAGCAGAGTGAGCGGTGATGCAGGCTGCGCAGTGGCAGAGTGAGTGGTGAGGCAGGCTGGGCAGTGGCAGAGTGAGTAGTGAGGTAGTGGCGGAGTGAGCAATGAGCTTGACAGACCAAAATCAAACCACATTCTCATTTTTGAGATGCAGCATGTTTCAACACCCCAACCCCCTCCCCCACTGCCCCACCAGTGCCGCATGACATTTGCCTGAGGGATGATGGCCTTGTCTGACTAGCCAGGCAAATCTGAGTGACATACAAACACGGTGCAGTGCCAGACGGGGGGGGGTTGACTTCCAGGAAAGTTCAGTGAACAATATATAGGGGGAACATTTTGTTATGTTTCTGATTTTAAACCGAGATCAACATCAGCAGATTTGGCTGGATTTGCTTTCCGATTGTTATTTATTATTTTAAGAGTTCACTCTTGTAATGTTATCTGACCACTTTGTCTGTGGGAACAATGGTGATGCTGGTCTGATTTCCAGTGAAAATAAAAATGCAAAATGAGTTTGAAAGCCTGAATCTTCAGGTCATTGGCCTGTAAAATGCTTGAGGTGGCAGCTGACCTAGAACTTATTTTACCTTTCATCCTGCCGGATTATTATTTACACACTTAAATCTGAGCTGGTTAAACCTACTAAGAATCATGTTACCCTTTGTTGCAAAACCTGCTGTATGTAGAAGCCTGATCCCAACCACAGAGATTGCTGGGTGTGGAAAGTGGATGTCTAAATATTTTTGAGAAAAATACAATCAAAGGACAAGCTGAGGAGCAAACAGTTGCGGTGACTGCATGACCTTGTTCCCGAGGGCCCCCAGCACCACGTTTACCATACATTAGTGTCCCTAAGATTGACTCACTGTAAACTCAGAAGCACCTGGAAAAGCCAAAGGTTTAAACAAGAAAAAAGCAGTTGCAAGAAAAGATGATGCATGATCTCCCTCAATACTGGTATGAACTGGGAATTAGGAAGTTGGAAGACCCGATTCTTTCTCCATGACCAATATCTCCTTGATGGCACACAATAATAGTAATAATAATAATAATAATAATAATAATAATAAAATCACATGTAAAAAGCTTCAGGCTCCTTAAAGACTCTCCTGGTGTGGTTGTGACTACTTCTCCAAGCTCTGAGCACAACATCAAGAGGGCGAAGGGTGGAGATTCTGCAGAATTTCTTTACTTGACAGGTATTTCCCCCCCCCCGCCACAGAACAGCCCCAACCAGCATTATAACCACCTCACGAGGAACAAATCCAACCGGCTTTGGCTCATCTTTGACTTGCCAGACTAGTTTTTGCGCTTTGTACATCTGTGGAATTTTTCAAAATTTTGCAGATGCTAGGTGCAGAGTGGAGTAGCAGTGCAGGAAGTAATTTCGGCTCGTGCTTTCAACTTAGTTAGCGCGCTCTCTTTATCTTTATCTAAGTCTCCTCTTGTGTTGGGGGCACCCACATGTAGACCAGAGAAGTGTAAAAGCAAAGGAACGTCTCAGTCTAAATACAACCAGAAGGAGTAAAGATTTCATCTCAGGAGAAAATCCGACTTGGGCACGCTATGGGTCTGCTCCCACTGGCTTACCAGAGTACGGGACAGGATTCTAGTCACCTGATCCATTTATTGACTTGTTTTTCCTTTGCTAAGAAAAGACTTTGCTTGTGATTGCTTTCTTTTCTAGACCATGATCATATTCAGGTTTACAGGGCATTGCCTTTCTATATAGGTAATCCTGTATAGTAGCTAATTGTGTTGTTCCCATGACACTGATGTTACAATGTTGTCAGGAGTTTGCTGTCATAAACTGTTGCGCTTATGAAATACCTCGAGGCACTCTTTATGTTCTCTTATCAGTTTGGGGATAGCTGCTTATGCTACTATCCTGTAAACTCCGTGATGCTGAACCACAATCTCACAATCACACGTATGTCGTTGCTCATCGCAGTGTGCCAGTGTATGTGTTTATCTGAATGGCGTGTAGGTGAGAGGGGTTAAGAGAGCAGAGGGGAGAGAGAGGCAAAGTGTGTGTGTTTCACCAACGTTACCGCAAGGCTTGTGAACCTTGAAAAGCAGGACATCTTGCGACACCTCATAAAGGGAAAACTGCATTCTCAAATATCTTTAAAAATAAGGTGTCAGGACTGTTTATCTGATGTGCCGTGTGTTTTCATTTTTTCTTCCCAGTGCATTAATTCAAGTAATTGTTTAAGAAAAGTCTTCCACTTCTGTATGCATCATTTTCACATACTGTTTGTTTCCCTTGCCAGGCCACACCCCTTCATCTCCATGTGATGACATCACTGCCTGGTCCCTCCAGGCTCACGGCCCCGCCCAGCAGCGACTACTGTCAGCTAGGCAGGTGAGCTTGTTACCCGAGGCCACCATTGAGGTCGAAGGGTATTTTCCCCTGTTTCGCAAGGGAATGAGGTGTGGACTCTTGCAACCTCAGCAACACAGGCCCTCAGCTCAGAGCCCAGAAGCTGAGAGACATCAATGAAGTTCACTGACAAGAAGGAAGGGGGATCTCAAATCGGAGAATGAAGCAGTTTCAGATTAATGCATAAGAAACAGCCTTTGGCATGACACAGGCTGAGGGCTGTTATTTTGTCATTGGTTTTGTTTAATAATGCAGTAGTGTCAAGAAGTATCTGTCTACACAAGAAATATATATAAGATGCGTCTTC